CAAGGGCAGTAGCTCCTGGCATCGCTACTAGGAACACGAAGCTACTAGTAACAAGGGCATCGCTACCAGGAGCTAGAAGCTACCAATAGCTCCTGGCATTAATGCTAGGAACCAAAAGCTACGAGTAACAAGGGCAGTAGCTCCTGGCATCGCTACTAGGAACACGAAGCTACTAGTAACAAGGGCATCGCTACCAGGAGCTAGAAGCTACCAATAGCTCCTGGCATTAATGCTAGGAACCAAAAGCTACTAGTAACAAGGGCAGTAGCTCCTGGCATCGCTACTAGGAACACGAAGCTACTAGTAATAAGGGCATCGCTACCAGGAGCAAGAAGCTATACCAATAGCTCCTGGTATTAATGCTAGGAACCAAAAGCTACCAGTAACAAGGGCAGTAGCTCCTGGCATCGCTACTAGGAACACGAAGCTACTAGTAACAAGGGCATCGCTACCAGGAGCTAGAAGCTACCAATAGCTCCTTGGTAGCTCCTAGCATTAATGCTAGAAACCAAAGCTACTAGTAACAAGGGCAGTAGCTCCTGGCATCGCTACTAGGAACACGAAGCTACTAGTAACAAGGGCATCGCTACCAGGAGCTAGAAGCTACCAATAGCTCCTGGCATTAATGCTAGGAACCAAAAGCTACTAGTAACAAGGGCAGTAGCTCCTGGCATCGATAACAGGAACACGAAGCTACTAGTAACAAGAGCATCACTACCAGGAGCTAGAAGCTACCAATAGCTCCTGGCATTAATGCTAGGAATCTAGGAACCAAAAGCTACTAGTAACAAGGGCAGTAGCTCCTGGCATCGCTACTAGGAACACGAAGCTACTAGTAACAAGGGCATCGCTACCGGGAGCTAGAAGCTACCAATAGCTCCTGGAATTAATGCTAGGAACCAAAAGCTACTAGTAACAAGGGCAGTAGCTCCTGGCATCGCTACTAGGAACACGAAGCTACTAGTAACAAGGGCATCGCTACCAGGAGCTAGAAGCTACCAATAGCTCCTTGGTAGCTCCTAGCATTAATGCTAGGAACCAAAAGCTACTAGTAACAAGGGCAGTAGCTCCTGGCATCGCTACTAGGAACACGAAGCTACTAGTAATAAGGGCATCGCTACCAGGAGCTAGAAGCTACCAATAGCTCCTTGGTAGCTCCTAGCATTAATGCTAGGAACCAAAAGCTACCAGTAACAAGGGCAGTAGCTCCTGGCAGTACTAGGAACAAGAAGCTACTAGGTTGGAGGCCATCGCTACTAGTAACAGGGCATTGCTACTAGTAGCAAGACGCTACTAGTAGCTCCTGGCATTACTATTAGGAATAGGTTGGAGGCCATCGCTTCTAGTAACAAGGGCATCGCTACTAGTAGCAAGAACGCTACTAGTAGCTACAGCTAGGGCCGGGCTGTTCCGTCCCGGAAAGGCTGGAAGGCTGGAACGAGATTGACACAATCCAAAATGTACGGTCGACCCCGGCTTTGATCATACTGTAGCAAGGCCCAAAATTGCTTACATTGCCATGTGGAGGCAAACTCACCAAGATTCTACTGCAATTTCGGACACTCTTCTACTGGTTCGGACGATGGCCCCATCTTTTGGAATTGGAAAATTCCGCCAAAGCAAAGCCCCAACCGTCTCAAGGTCCCCAGCCTCCAGGCCAAAAAAAACACAACAACACGGCCTGGGGGTTGGCGGCCACAGCTGCCGCCAGCTCGCCAAAGCCTCTAATTGGAGGCAGGGCAAGAGAGCCGAGGGTCATGGTGGTCGGATGGCTCCAAACAAGACTTCCGGACTCTGTCTGAGCACCAGAAAATTTCAGAACTGGGATGTGGCGCTCCAGAAGACTCTAGCGCCATGAAGAAGATCCCGCTCGAGTTTTCGGAAGGGAGTCCAAATACAAAGAGCTGGGCCCGCGCGAGGTCCGCAGGTTGGAGGTCCAGACCGGCACAATTCATGGGACGGACTCAGTTTCCCGACCCAACACGGATGATCTCATCCCGGATGCAACACTACCACTATAAGACTCTACCCTCATCACCGAAAAAGGTCCCACCCCAACCGCCTCTTCAAGGCTCGTTCCTTCACGCTTCGTAGACGCTTCACGGGGCGAACCCGTGGGACTCCGTTCGTAGCGCTCCGTTCGTCGGCCCTTTGGAAGGCCAGGAGCCCCCTTGGTCTTCGCGTCCGCTCCTTTGTGGGTGGTATTCCACTTCCAGTCTTGAGAAGAAGTGTGGATCCCCTCCGACTACCACACGGATGATCCGATGGTGGCAACGAACGAAGCCAAGGTTCCTGACGGTCCAAAACATGACTCAGCCGTTCGACTCGTGTCGATTGGACCTCTTAGAAGTGCTGTCAAAGAGTCGATGGTCAAACATACCATCCACGTCAGGATGGTCAAACTCTTAAGACATACCCGAGTGCGAGAAAGGACCGGTCCTTCTGTCGATGTGTCACTTAGTAGAGCACAGAGCAAAAGAGCAAAAGGTCCTAGTAGCACTTTTAATTCTATTTACTAATTCTTGTTTCTACTAGCTTCTTGTTACTATAGTAGTAAGGCCCTTGTTCCTAGTAGCGATGCCCTTTGCTCCTAGTAGCGTCCTTGTTCGTGTATTGAATCCTTGACGTCCTCGGAGCAATCGCCCTCTCCATCTCCGAACCCAACGTCTCATCCGGTCTGCTCCACCGGGCCCCTGCCAGGCTGCCCGGCGCGGATGGTTTCGCAGCTCTTCCAACTCGGCCACTGTGGCGCCGCCGCCGCCGCCATCTGCATGGACAGTGCATGGACTGCACCTTGTTGCTAGTAGCTTCTAGCTACTAGTAGCGATGGCCGCCCTACTAGCGATAGCTTCTTGCAGTGCAGTTTGATCAAAGTGACATAGAACAAGAAGCTGGAATGCATGGATCAAGCAGGCGAAGTCTTTCTGGAGGGGTGAGGGACATGGTTTGTTCTGATTCGAAAACTTGTTGGGGTACTGTTTCAATGGGTGCTCAAATGCAGCGGTCTCTTTGCAACTTGCCGGGTGAACGAAACAAGAACTGCGTTGGCGGACAAACAAGCAGAATCACAGTTTCACTGGGAAAGCGGTTGGCATCAGAATCACACCAACCGCTTTGATAGACAGACAATCCCGAAGCACTTCTGAAACAGCCCGAAGTGCTCCTTTTCAGATTCTAGGCCAAGCCAGAGGTTGAGTGACCGTAAATAGGGCCCTGGGGTACCTATGGGATTGTCTATACGGTCCTTCAACCTCTGTTGGAGTGCTCCACACACCGGCCCCGAGCTGCAAGTAGACATCCGAGCGACGCGACCGCGGAGCGCGCTCCCTCCGAACCGGTGGCGGTTCCGTGCTCAGCGACGCGAGGCAGCGGAGCACTTAAGAATCATGCATCAAGAACCAAAACCCTAAGGTCTTAGGGTCCTATGCATTTCTATCCCCAAGAATCATGGACCCTAAACCTAGTTGGAGGCCATGTGGATGGAAAGGCCATCGGTCCAGCCCCTGTCCAGCCCTCACCGCCTCCGCCTCCCCCACCGCCAGCACCGGGCGGTGGCATCGCCGGGAAGGCTCCAGTCATGGCGGGGCCACCGCCTCCACCTCCGCCTCTGGAGATCACCAGACCGGCCGATGGATCACTATTGGCCAGTGAGTCGAGTGAGTCGAGCCGAAGCCTTTTGAGGCGGAAAAGACCTACAGAAAGAAGCTCAACACTCGCACCAGCCTGGACAAGTGGGAGGTCCACTTTTCAGAGTGGATTCGAGTTGCAAATCAGACTTTTCGGAGAGACTATAGGTGTGAAAATTGAGGAGGTGTGGCTAGGGCTCAAAAGGTTTGTCAAGACAACAATCTGCAACAACCATCCCAACAAAAGGCTCCAAAAAGCAAAGAAACTCCAATGAAAGGGCTCAAGAAAGGCAGTTGAACAAATTGAACAACACAGAGAAAAGAGGGCCCCAACCTCCGACACCTCTTTTCCACTCTCTGCTTGTCAAGCCTCCTTCCATTGGCACATCACCACCCGCTGGCGCACCAGCTGCAGGTTCCTCTGCCTCGTGCACCGGCAGTACCCACCGAGCATCAGTGCGACCGCAGCGACGTCGACCGTGTCGACCGTGTCGACCCCCCGACGCATCAGGTGAACGACCCGGCGAAGCTTGGATTTGAGGTGTCCCCAATCCCCTGAATCAGATTATACGCAATATATAAACCCTTGAAGTCCAAAGACGATACTTTTCCGAAGTAAAGGACAGTCCCTTTCAGGCACCCTAGTCAGACCATTCTTTTTGTAGTCTTTGACTCCCAGGGTAAATATATCTATATATATATATATCCGCCGACCCCTTGCGACTGCAAGGGGAGCGCGCCAGAGAATATATTATATAGAACAAAAGCGACAAGGCCCTTCCCTGTGTAGATGAAGATTTTTTGAAGTAGACACCTCAAGGTTTGTCCTCCAGGGCCTCGTTCCCAAGTTGGAACTGACCTCACTATCAAGAAACCATCCCCCATGGAGAGCTCGTGTTTCGACCTCTTTCAGTGTTTGTTCAGAAGTGTGTTGGGCGGAACCCGCTTCTGAAGAGACCAAGAACGACCCTGCCCCCGAACATGTACATCTGCATACTTTCACATGGTTTGGCTTTGACCCGCAAAACACGCACAGCTTCGTTCCGTTGAGGAAGCACCACCTCCAACGAATGCACATCGTCTTCAAGTAACAGAAAGAAAACGGACCAATGGTCGCAAAAAGAATACCACCAAGAAAGCATCCTTTCTTCGCACCAGAGAAAAACAAAAAGAACAACTGTGACAAGTTCCAAATGGTTCCAACCATCATCCAACATCTATTTTATGGTTGAACATCTATGGAAAAAGAATTCCGGGCTTCGGCTCGGACCTCTCTGTGACCCCCCCAAAAAGGGACTACCCACCCGAGCGTTCCGGCCATCAGCCCCGCGGGGATGCCACTCCTGTTCGCAGAAACGCGGAACACGCGGAGGGGGATCTCTCCGGAGATCGGGTTGGTGAGGCGGAGGTCTCTGTGTATTGACCCAGACGCGACCCATGGGACTGCCATATATGCCTACATTATCCTACATTGACCCCCAGTCAACCACCTCAACTCTGATCGGCAGTCCTATGGCAGTCCCATGGAGTGTTTGAGTGATGGGTGTCCGATGTTGTTTTCTGAGAAAGGACAGGAGGGTGACCCAGACAGATGAAGCAAGCATTTTGTTATGTTTTGTTGATCTTTGAAGCAAGCACTGTGCCTACCCTATCAATGTAGCTGCTAATGCGCATGCGCCGTAGAAGCAGAGTGGAACACCCTGTTGCTTCTGAATCCAGCCCCATCCCAAAAACGGGGACCACTGAACGTCCTGTTCTACCCGGTTTGATCTCTCTCGCCCCCCGGAATCCTTCCCGGTCACTCCCTACCGGGACCGTGGGCATCCCGGCATGAGGTACTCCACCGCCCGGTCAGGATTTCCGAAGGCCGCCTGAGGAGTTCCAGTTCCGCGGCCGTTCCAAGAGGCGGTGTGCCGGGGGAGTTACAGTTCCGCCGCTCTTCCCGTGGGGACCGGAGGGAAGGTAGTCGGGAGCTTTGTTTGGGGCGGCCACTCGGGTGACTGGGGAGAGAGTTTGGCTGATGACTGGGGGGGGATAGATACGGTGATTGGAAGATGCTGGATCAAAGTCTGGGGCCTGGCCGGGTGCGGAAGCAAGTCTTCGCCCAACAAACCGGAGCACTGCTGAAGACTGAACCGGAACACTCTGAGCCTAGTCTAGGCACCTGACTTCCGAATGGACAACCCATCAAGACAGTGAAGCAAATCCTAAAATCCAACAGACCAGATCTGGAAATCTCCTCCACACCCTGTCAGTCATAAGTTGGCAAAGTAATGCTCCAAGCGAAACTCTGCAGCTAGCTGGCTTATCCATGTTGAGAGGTTCATGTTCAAACACTTCGCTGAAGGGAAACGGGTCGCTGAGAGCGTCATTTTTGCGTGTTCCATTGCCATGAAATTGGAGTCATTTTCTAAGTTAACAAAGAATATAAGTCCCACTTCCAAAATGGAACCTGGCAAGTCCGCCCCAATCAACCAAAAGTGAACATCACCTGTATGTCTTCTTAAGCTGCCCATCAACCTTCCTCCCCAAATCAAACATCAAATCCACCAACTTGGTCCAACTGAACAACTGGGACTTCATGGACTCACGAGCGCCCGCGGCAACGATCTGTTCCCTTCGGTTCGCAGCATCCTCTTGAGCTTCCGTTCGTATCCTCGTGCCAGCTGGCTAGTGCGGTGCGCGCCCCGGAACGTTCGGAGAACGCGTCTCCACAGCTCGCCATGACTCGCCACTCGCCTGGAGGCAGCGCTCCACTTGTGCTCGCTCGAAGCCCATCTCCATCAGCTGCTGCACCGTCCTTGAGGGTCGAACCGATCCGACCGATTCCGTGGAAAGAAAAAGGATGAAGAACTTCTGAAAAAAAAAGACATCTTTAGGTGTCTGTGTTCTTTTTCATGGCTTTTTCTATGATATAGTAATAGGTGATTGTTGTTTCGATGCTTGGGGCAGGGACTGGAGTCACCCGGACTGGGCGCCCCGGCGACTCGGCCGCGGCGCCGCTCACCACTGTGGCGGCCGCGGCCTGGGAGACAGTGGGACCGAGGAAGCTGGACACAGGAAACCACACAAGCCGAGCTGTGAGTGTGTGAGTGTGAGTGTGAGTGTGAGTGTGGGTGTGGGTGTGGGTGTGAGTGTGAGTGTGAGTGTGAGTGTGAGTGTGGGTGTGGGTGTGGGTGTGCGTGTGAGTGTGAGTGTGAGTGTGAGTGTGAGTGTGAGTGTGGGTGTGGGTGTGGGTGTGGGTGTGAGTGTGAGTGTGAGTGTGAGTGTGAGTGTGAGTGGTAGTGGTAGTGGTAGTGGTAGTGGTAGTGGTAGTCGTAGTCGTAGTAGTAGTCGTAGTAGTAGTAGTAGTAGTAGTAGTAGTAACAATAGTAAAAAGAAGCTACTAGCATTCTGTACTGTTACAAAGGTCCTCACAACCAAGCTGTTCTCAGCCCTGCACCGCTCCAGTGTTGACCCCGGGCGCAGGGGCTGGTGTGCCTGCGTGTGATCAGATCATGTGTTTGGATGGGTGATGACCCCTTCAGATTTCTACGAGTGGCAAGAAGCTACTAGTGGCTCCTGGCATTACTACTAGGAAGAAGAAGCTACCAGGTTGGAGGCCATCGCTATCAGGTTGGTCTTTCCTGAAAAATCACCTCTCCTACACCTTCTGTTGAAAGCAAATGGTCGGTCTGAACTCTGAACGCGATTGGATGCATTTGGGGGGCCGGAACCAAGAAGTGACAGTCATGTCCACCATCACATGGGCAACTCTATTGTACATATTATGCACGTGGGCAACTACCATGGTTACGGTCTTTTATTAGGATCCCATCAGATGTTCTCTGACTGAATGACCCATCATCTGCTCCGGTCTGACCTTCTGCGGCGTTTCATGGATGGTAGTGCTCTCTTCCGCTCGAAACCCGGTTCTTTGCAACTTCATGAGACCAAATTCTTCATAAGGCCTCAAGAAGGGGTTTTCAAAGGGAAGAGACAGAGAGAGGCCCTCTCAACTACCTCACCCAGCTGGCACCGCCAGAAGAGCCGCCACGGCCTGCTGCTGGTGCCGGGCTCGGCGTGGCCGCCGGTGCAGGGGTGGCTGCGGGTGCAGGGGTGGCCGGAGGCTTGGCCTGGCAGCGGTGCAAGAAGCTACGAACGTAACAAGGTGCATCGCTACGAACGGAACAAGAAGCTACGAACGGTTGGAGGCCATCATAGCACATAGAAGGGAAGCAAGCAAGAAAGAAACACAATCACTGTTTGAAAGCATGTTGAAGCAACAAAATAAGAGTCTAATATCTAATAGATGTCAATAGGAGACATGGCTACTGTTGAAAATCATATGAATAATATCATCATAATAAATTACTATGACTAGTAAGGCACTTGTTCCTAGTAGCGTGGCACTTGTTTCTACTAGCTTCTTGTTACTACTAGTAAGGCACCTGTTACTACTAGCGTGGCACTTGTTTCTAGCAAAAGAAGAGCTATGACAAAATCACACGTTCGTTCCTAACAGGTACCCATACGTACCCACACCCACTCTTCAAACAAGCACCGCAAATCTGACAACCAAACATACCCCACCTCCCCCCGTGTTCGAACACCAAATCCAAAACCGGTCCCGTTTTTTTCGGGTGCCCGGTGGTGAAGGACGTCAGCTCACCTTGGCGACCATCACGACCACAAACTCGCCCTCCTTGATGCCCACGTCCTCCGTCCAAAGCCACGCGCTCTTCGGCGCGCGGTTCTCGCAGCCGGGAACCCCGGTCGCGACCCCGGAGGTTTGAAGGGGCGCCATGCAGGCCCTTCGCCGCCCTTCGCCGGCTCGCCAAGTGAGCCCAGTGAGCCAGCCCGGTGGCCCAAAGAGGGCCGATCCGGAGGGCCAGACGTGTTCCGAGACCGATGGGAGACTCCTTCGGATGTGTCTTGACGTGTCTTGACCCCTCGACTGGCGAACGGACACCCTGGGCCCAGGTCGGGGCATCCGAACGCTGGACGCGCCGGAAGAGAGCGGTTTTGGTGGCGCCCGGTCCGGGCCTTGACCAAGGTCTTATCATCCAGGATCTTCCCTTGGTGGATGAGCTTCTGTTGCTCCACCAACATCCTCAGCTTCAACTTCAACAAAACCATGGGCAAAGAACATGTACCACAGCACCATAGGATCAGATGCCACCCAACAACAAACTATGATAAACTATGGTGACGGCTCCGCTGTCGGTAACAAAGCCGCTGGCTCTGCTGCCGTGAACGCTGTTGAATCTGTTGGAGCCAAGGAAACTACAAAACATCGCAAGAAGGTCCGCACTCTTGTGAGATTCAAAACCTGACAGCAAGGTCCCTTTTCAGTCTGTATTCATCTTGGGCACACGGTCACTAGATTCCCTGCGAGGGAACCCCTCCCTCCCCAAGTTCTCTGTATGAGGCAGGCGCGAGCTTCCAAGATCTTCATTTCAAGATATTTCAAGCCTTCCTGAATGGACACTTAAACTCACTCCTTTTGATCAAATGCCTTTAAGAACGTGAGGATTGCTTTGTCTCTGTATTTATTTATGAAGAACACACTCAGATCGAACCACTCCAGTTTCCGCCCAGTTCCCCCCTCGCGCATTGAACCGAGGTGCTCCGAATGCTTCTCGCAGATGGACGTTTTGAGATCAGCCACCGTGGCCTTTTTGGTCAAAGGTGGCTCGGGGAGTTTACTTTAGAAGTGAGGTCACAACAATTTTGATGCATCTCCTGGGCCTATGATGGCATATACACTCCCGAAAACTAACATAGACCCTGACAATGGCCCCGTGGAAGATTGTTTTCCTCTACCAACCAGTGGTTTTCAGGGTCCATGTTAGTCTTCCAGGGTGTATATGTATTATATATGTAATACTCGTAATACTCGTATATAGTATCTATGGTGCATGACACTGACTCTTCTTCTTTCGCCGCTTGAACCACTGGGCGCCTCTTCGTTCACCTCCACCACAAACATATCGCCCTTGAGTGGTCGGCATGTGATCTGAGCCACGGCTGATGGATGAGGCGTCTCACCCAGGCTGACTCCCGAGCCATCCTTGTATGACCGCATGTTTTGTAGCAAATAGCTACCAGTAGCTTCTTGTGACTAGCGATGGCCTCCACCCATTAGCGTCCTTGCTTGAACATAGCGGGGTTCGCCTCCACATCCTGTTAAAGTTGAGTGCAGAAGCCAGTCCCCCCAAGAGGGTTGAAGATTATTTGCTGGCTAGGCGAAGCCCGAAATATTTAAGCATGTTGGCTTGCTTTGGAGACCGAAACCAGAAATTCAGCCCGAAGATCCAGAGCAAATCCTTGACCAACCAGCAGCACAAGCCCCTCTTCACAGGGTATGGTGAATATGCCATCTCTGGGGCAACCTGAAGGCTTCGACTTTCTATGCTGACTTCAATGGTAGAAACCGCCAAGGGTTGCCTCGTCGGAAGTTGGATTCCGCAAGAGAACCAAACACTAAGCCACCCCAAAGGTCAAGTGTTTTCATATGTTTTATCCTACTCTTCGAGTTCGTGTCGCTCTACCTCTACCGCCTCTACCTCCGAATGCGTGCTGAAAACGCCACATTCTCTTCGCCCCTCCACCTTGAGCGCCATCGCGAGGCCAAAAACCTGGCATGCAGATTGGCTACCGATTCACATCCGATTTTGCCCCAGACTTCCAAAGACCTTAATGGAAACCCAGCAAAATCCTAACCCTTCAATATCCTTAAATCATCTTAAATCCATTTAAATCCTAAGGTCCTCAAGCAGCTCCTGAGTTGATATGAGGATATTTCTGAGAAAAAAAAATCGTTCAAACTCAGGCTTACCATAGGTTCGGTTTTTCTTGACCAAGGACCATGCAGCGAATTCTGAACGGTAACTGATTAGTCTCATCGTCCGGACGGCCTGGCCGTGGACTTCGCGCCCCCGACCGTCCTTCCCTTCGCTTTGAGCCCCTCTGCAGCGCGTGAAGGCTGGAGTAGCTGGTCGTTGCGAAAATTGTTTGCAGAGCAGATGAAACAACAAAAGAAAACAGAAACCACAAGTTTGTTTTAAAAAAGAAATGAAGTCTGAGGCGTGCGTCATCTTGTTGTCATCAATCATGTGCCATCTACTCTGAATCCATCACCCAGACACTCCATGGGACTGCCATATATGCCGCCCCATTGACCCCCAAAACGGTCCAATGTTCTTTTTCTGCTCTTGACGTGGAGCCAGCTCCACCCCCACTCACACCGCTCGGCCACCCGGCGGTGTGGAAATTCCCCACCGGTGTCAGCCTGGCAAGTCGACACCAACCTCTTCATCTGTCGAATCCTCAGGGCTGCATGTTTTGGGGGAACCCACAAACCATGTGACGTTGTCGTTGTTGTCGTTGTCGTTGACGTCGTTGTCGTTGTCGTTGACGTCGTTGTCGGTGATGTCGTTGTCGTTGTCGTTGACGTCGTTGTCGGTGATGTCGTTGTCGTTGTCGGTGATGTCGTTGTCGTTGTTGTTGCTGTTGTTGTCGTTGTTGTTGCTGTTGTTGTTACTTTGACCCATTTGCGATAAAAGGTCTTTTGAACGACCCGTGTGTCGCGTGTAACGTGAGTGTTTTAAATATGGCCGGAAGTTCTGAATACGAGAAGTTGTGCCCCACAGGAGAGTCTAGTTCAAAATGCTGGTCAGTTCGGATTGGGAATCCTCAAGAAGATATAGATGGAAGATCCACAAAGAATCGCAAAATCAATCAAAAGCTTTTGAAAATTGTTGAAATATGTTCCATTCCATATGAAAGAAAACTGTTGAAAAAATAGATAAAACATCCCATGTCCAAATGCATTCTGAATTCGATACCACAAGAAAGCATTTGATGTTTCTGTCATAAAAAAATATGCCGCCGACAGGCTGGCAGGTGTGCCCAGTCAAGATCTCATCATCACAGGCTTTGTGAAGCGCTTCTTTGGACAAACCGCTGTGAGAATAGGGCTCTACAGCTTTTGCACCCGATAGATCACCAAATCCATTGGGACTTTAGAAAACAAAAAAACACAAGTAAGCAAACACTGTTAAACAGTTATATGATACTATATCCTTTTGTACAAAAGAAGAGTCTCCATCTTGGCTTTTGCTTCACCACGGCATCTGGCTGCATTCAAAACACTTCTGTTCCTGGCACCACTCCCTCCCACGGCGTCCCTTTTCACTCAAAGGATGCTGGGCTTCAGCTTGAAGCCCACCGACTGGCCACGCGGTGCAGAAGACCGACGGACGTGAGCGATGTGGAGCGGTTTGAACGAGTCCCAAATCCATGGAGAAGCCATGGATTTGGCGCGATGCCAAGGGTGTGAACCAATCATGTTGAGTCAGTTACTGCCTGGTTTTGGGGCTGGGAACACACAAACAGGGGGGGTGCTGCACAAACCCAGCTGTAAATGGCCCACTGAGCAATCTCATCGCCTCAAGTGAAGGCTAAATGGAGGGTGTGTGGAGAATGGGGATCAGCAAAAATTGATGAAGTTAGTGCCCCAAAAATACCTTCACAAAGTTCTGCGAAGGTTCCTGGGTGTTTGTTAATTATTAGGATGGGTTTTCCTCCTGGCCCTTCCACGAAACGTCCACGAAGAGCCCCGGGTTCCACGAATGTCCCCTTCCACACAGTGAGTGGAATAGGGGGTGCCCAGAGTAGCGACTCACAAAACCGGAGACCAAACAACTTGCACACGTGGTGGTCAGCGGCGGCGGCGGTACACGCCGCGGTCAGCCCGCGGCTCGCCTGCCGTTGACCCTTCGTGTTCAGCAAGCGCGAGGTCTCCGCCGCCTGGGGACTTCCACTGCCTTTTTGACTCGGACTCTGGTGAGCCAATGAGGATGGATGGATAATAGTAAGGTGCTTCTTGTTCCTAGTAGCGATGGCCAACCTACTAGCTTCTTGCTGCAGATTGAGGAGCTGAAGACTTTTTGCCTCCAAAGGGTTGTCAACTGGGTTTGGGTGATTGGGGAGGAGGAGAGGCTCAAGAAGATCCAGTGAAGAAACTGAACACACGTCAACAACAACTGCTGGACTTATGACAGGGTCATTGGCCTTACAGGTTAATGAGGGGGTGTAAGTGGATGGCATGGCCTTTGGGTTTCCTCTACTAAGGGCGGGATGTCCATGGTTTTTGGAGGATCATTGATGCTTGGATGAGGCATATAGACGTGGATGTCGCCCAAACGATCGGTGGGAGCGAACGCGCATGGCATGATGAGGTGATGACTGCTTTGCCCAGCTTGTTGGAGGCCATCCCTAGTAATTAGAGTGCTTGCCCAGCTTGCAGGAAATTCCTGGAGATCGGTCAAGTCTTTCGGAAAAAGAAGGGCGATGGCCTCCAACCTACTAGCGATGGCCTCCAACCTAGTAGCGATGGGGCGTTTTCTTCGAGGTCCGCACATCCAGAAGCTCCAGGGATTTGTCGACCCCACCGAAAGGAAGAATCATTGAGAATGTGCTTCAAAGCCTCAGGGTTTGGCGGTGATGTTGAGATTGGTTCACATCCTACCTGTTTGTTACAATCCAGCATGAGCCGCAGGGGGGAATTAGAACAACCTGCTGACGGCTTGGTCAGGTGGATAAGCCTTTTGGAATCCTCCTCAGCAGCAGCAGCAGCAGCCGTAGCAGGCGCCTTCTGTGCGTCTTTGGCAGCTTCCTCTTCGCGCTTCAAGCGCTTCTCTTCTTGACGGCGCTCCAACTCCTCGCAGTCAGACACGCTGTAGATACATGAAGAGACCCGCACCCAAGGGATTTGAGATGCAGTAGACACATTGTGTAATCAATTAGTTGTATGTGTAGTCATCAATGTGCTCTGTGGTCCATCTTTCACCTCTTTAAACTGGTGCCTTTCAAGACGTTCGTGGACGAACGCTGGGTGGTGGAGGGGTCCCTGTGGTGGTGGTCTGAGTCTAACCTGTGACTTACTTCGCCTCTTTGCATATGCCTTTCCTTTCACTAGTAGCTAGAAGCTACGCACCGTGGAGGCCATCCCTATGAGGTTGGAGGCCATTACTAGTTACTTAGTAGCTAGAAGCTACTGTTTATTCGTGCTCGGATGTTCTTCCGTCCGTACTCGTCCCTACTCTCTCCCGTACTCGTCGGTGTCTCCCCGATCCTTGAGGCGTTCCTCGTCGAGCTTGGCTTGCACTTCAAGCCTCGGAGAAAAACATCGAAGAAACTCCAACCTAGTAGCTACTTACTTGCTGTAGTGGCCTCCAACCTAATAGCGATGGCCTCCAACCTAACCCTTCTTCGGTCGGTGCATTCGGTTCCGGGACAAGTTGCTGCGCGAGGGGTTTCAGTCGAGGATGGCACCGTATGGCAAGGGATGGGTGGAGGGCGGGTGTGGTAGCGCCAGCTAGGTGGGCCCGGAGTTGGTGCATTTGGGTCGGCTCTGGCCTCTACCAAGTCTTGCACCACTTCCGAGTGCCCATTCTGACTTGCCCAGACATAGCTGCTGCGCCATCTCCTGTTTGAGCACCGTCAGCTGGCCAAACGCAATCCTTCTTACCCCGACTTGCCTCATCGAAAGCTGTCTGGTCATTTTCTCCTTCTGAATCCTGTTCAGCCCCCCGGCAATCGAAAACGACCTCCGAGTGGCCAGCATGGCTTCCACGATGCCCGGATCCAGGCCTTCTCACCATCCTGACTGAGCGTCAGTCCAGCTGACTGAGCGTCGAAAACCATGGTTCTGCAGCTGTGACTCTGGGTCAAAGGAGCTTCATCTTCCAGGTGCATCTCCTCCTGCAAGAGTCGGCATGCCAAAACCTGGAGAATCTTCAGCCGGGCTGCCAGGTGTTCTTTCCACGCGCTCACAGGTTTGTCACTTTCCGAGATCGGGTGCAACTCCTCATTCTCAAGTTCAGTAGCAAGCGCCCCCGAGAGGAAGCGGATCCGCAGCATGGGCAACACCTACACGCACTGCAGGATTGTACCCAAGCTCTAGGCGCACAAGCTCTGCGTTTTCACAGGAGTCGCGAGAGCTACGTTTGGAGACTGACCAGTTATGGCGACGGCGACACCACAGTACTCGTGGGCACCCAAGAAAAACATGAAAGGCCAATAGGGAACCCTGTGCAACAAGTGTGCTTGTTAGTAGTGAGAGCCCCTAGTAGCCTCCTAGTGGCGATGCCAGGAGCCCCTAGTAGCGTCCTTGTTCCTATTTGAACCCTGTGCAACCAGAAACCAAAGAGATCCAAAGAGACTTTTGCCAGTAGATGTTTGCGATTCTTCCAGTGAAGGCTTGCGGCGTGTCATTCCCCACAGTCCAGTGAGACTTGTCGAATATAGGGAGTTACCAAATGCACAAACTGCTTGCACTGCCGCTGACCCTCTGTAGCATACCCTTGGCGGCTCTAACTCTAGCACTAAGCAAACCCCAGCGATACCTCTTCCATGTGCATGACCGGTGCTGATTTCTTTCCCAACATCATCTTCGCAATAAACTGCAGAAGTGTTCAACTATGTTCAAGTCTTACCTTCCAAAGTGACCAGACGTCATCATCACCTCCAAGTTCGGTGCGCTCCACTCACTCAGCTAAAAACGTGTCGCCAAGCGGCTCCTTCCGCTTCTGAAACTCTTTGACCTCGGCCTGGAGGTCGTAACTTGTGCTTTCTAGAAGCAGAAATCGAAGGACGTTTCATGCCATGGTGGTTGAAGATGTATACTGCCTTATACACTTTATTGGTATAAACAATGGAAACTATAGACACCCTTTGTGTTTCATGTCCTTTGCTTGGGGCTCCGTCATCCATGTTCGAGCTTCTCCCCCAAGTCGGACAATGCTTGATGCTCGGATGGTTGAAACAACTTGGTGTTGTGGCAAAATGCCGATTCAGCCGCATTCCAGCAGCACGCCACCGTTTGGTTGCACCTCCCGGAAACCAAAAAACAACATATTAATATCATTCCCAAAGAAGGGATGAAAACGACAAGAAGATCTTCCCAAACAACTACCACTGTAAGTCTGAGACAATCCCCGACCAGTCTCATGTCACCACACTTCTTCTTCCAGCTCGGCCTCCTGCTTCCGCAGCTCCTTCTCAGCCTCCTCCTCACGAGAGAATGATAATGAGCCCCTTTTCGGACGTTTCACCATGTCTACTTGTGGGGATATGTCACTTTAGGACGTATGATCATGGGGTTGTCTGATCCGTAGTTTGGGGACGTAGAATGGAATGACCCAATCCAACCCAGTCTCCCCTTTGCTAGAACCCCAATCCGTCCGGAAGGTTGAGGGATGGCAGACATGAAGAACAAAAGAAACTGTTCTGTTCTTCCAAACATATCAAACCCGTTTTGGGAAAGACTAAAGACCGATCTGTGTTTTTTTGCTGAGTTTCGGAACTGCTTCGGTACCTGTTTTCGTCCGTCCGCGTTCCCGCCGCGAGAAGCGAGATCGCTCCGTGGTCCTTCTCGTGCTTCTCCTTCTCTTTCCTTTCGATCTCCTGCAGGCGTTGCCACTGATTGACGTGGCCACTCTAGGGCTGGGAGACCGTGGGGGAGAGACGACCACGACGGGTTGCGGTTTGGTGGATTCAGACTTCGGACCTAACATGGAACTGCCATGCACATGACCATGTCTCTTTCAGATGCCGGGGAGATTCCTCCAAAAACTCTTTGGTCCGTGTATTGTATTTTTTTAATATGTCTTCATCTACATCGATATGTAAAAAATACTATAGAATATATTGATTGATGCACAATGCACATCACCATCTTTGGGAGCTGATCCACACCTGCGGTCTGGTTCCCAACCACAGTCCCCACACCACCTGGAGGATCTTACGCTTGGTCTCGTCAACCTGGCGTCGTTGGAGAGTTCTTAGACCAGAAAGCATGCCAAACGAGGCCCAAAACGATGCCAAACGCGTCTACTAAAAAGCCAATAGCAAGAAGAAATGCTATGGCTTTGTATATATACACATGTTGTTTCAAAGACACCCATATAGTGTTGTTTTCATTTTGGGGTTGACGTCTTAAAAGAACTTCTACATTGGCACGCACATCACACACATCACAAGGCAAACAAATTGCCTTTCCCAGCGCCGCGTCAAAACGCGTGTGATGTCATTCGCTCCGGTTCTTGCAACTTGCTCCGTCGGTTCACTCCGGGGTTTGCTGGTTCATGGGCCGAAAAATGCACGTTCTTTAAATAAGGGGGGGGACTTTCTGAATAGGCATCCTGGCGTAGGGAATTTAGGGGTGTCCGCCTTCTTGATCATTGATCCCAGTATATAAACATACATTTATATGCCTTTCACCCACTCGAAAAGGAGCATGGTCCCTTCAAAACGGAACATGTCCTCTGCAAAAACCAAAAATTCATCCGAACCTTGTCCCCCCAAAAAAGAAACACGCTTTCGTTGCGCGCTTGTAATGGGTTCTCCCCAAAGGTCGCGCCTCTTTGAGCATGATCTCCTCCAATCGTCTTCGCTCCTCCAAAAGTCGCCGACCGGCTTCGATCCGGGCCGACGTCTCGATGCCCGACCTGCCGAGTGCTTTCTGGGCCTGTTCTGGTGTCTAGACCGTGCGAAAGCACACCACGGGTCTCATGTCTCGAACATGACCGTGGTCTCATCAACGAATGACCGTGAACAAACAAATGAAAAAAAACGACGATTCTGCTCATGAGAATCCCATGTTTGGCCAAGGATATTGCTACAGTTGGGGAGTCCTTTGCATCAGTTGGGGATGTGTTTCTTTCTGATCGCACCAAAAGGAACCCCCTAAAATGTCTCTCAATGAACCCTCGTGATTCTGTTCTTCTTACTCATGGAATACCCAAAAACTCCAAAGCAAAGGCTGGACAACCATCTGGTTCCCTCTTCTGCACTACTCCGTGTGGCCCACAATGCTGCGTCGCCCGGTTGGTTCGGACGGGTGTGCGCCTCCTCCACCTTCTCATTGACCTCGGGCCAAGCAGGGGGCCATTTGGCGCTTTCCAAAGAAAAACCGAACGAAATGGAATGGAATGGTCCTGGCAGTCGGGATTCTGAAAACATCAAACTTGTTTCGGACTATGACATATTACTGAGAAAACGCAGATGCTGACATGAATTCCCAATCTATTTCTTCCTTGAATCTTCCACGGATCTCATTTCTGGCCTCCAAGATCAAGATTTCCTGCTGCGCCCACTCTAGGTGCAGAAAGAAAATCCTCCCCATTCATTTTCCCCTCACACACCCACCGGATCAAGCCGAACTCATCCCCACTCTCCGGGCGCCCCGGGCCATCTCTTGAAACTCGGAGCTCGCCATCCGCTGCTCCAGCGTGCGCTGCAGCTCCAGCGCATAGCGCCGGGCCACCTGACGAGCGAAGACACCAACGAGTGGCTGAGATGTGTCGCATCATCTCCACACATTCCATCGATTGGGTTACATTTTTGGCAATATCCTCCCATCCTCTCCTTCCGGCAACAGATTTTGGATACAGCGCTATATAGGACCTTAGCAGGAGTTCTGCCATCTTTTGCCCGCTCATGCCTGTTGTGGTGATGCTTTGACCCTTAGCTTTGGGACCCAAATCCCCTCTTCACCTTCACCCCAAAGACACCAAATCCGGTGACCCTTTTTGGTTCCCATCTTGGGGTCAACAACGGTCGCTGAGTCCGGATCGCCGCTGAAGAGTAAACGCCCCGTCCTCGTCTTCGATCATTTTCTCCTCCAGCTCCTCGCACATCGATTCGATTCGATGACTGAAGGTGTGCATTGTGAGTCGATTGATTTTTCTAGTGTATTGCTTAAGTAGATTGTCAGGGCGTTGCTTGTCAGTGCTTTGCAAAATGAAACCCTGTAGATATTGGGCATGGGCAGTCAAAAGGATAGATGAGTTGCAAGTAACTAGTTGGTCTGAGCATTTCGGACTTGATGTAGAAGTGCCTGGGAGCATCGGTGATGGAGCAAAAAGAGGTTGGGTTTGTCGATGTTTGTCCTTGCAAACAAAGGCTCCACACCACCCAAGCCACCGAAAAAGAGATGAAAAAGAAACCACTCAGGAAAGAATCCAAAAGAACGGCTGGCCAAAAGCAAACCACAACATGCAAGAAAACACACACTTAGGATAGGGTGTACTGAACTGAAAGCGGTGCCACACGCCAGCCTAAGAAACCCAAATCCTGAAAAACCAGGTGAGGGGGTCTGAGTGCCTTTAGTTAAAGGCCAAAGTTCAAAAGCCACGAGACGACGACCAGGTCGAAGTGACGGCGGCCGCTCTTGTCTGCAGAGTGCACTAGCCCTTTACCAAAGGTTGAAACTTGCTGAAAGGATCCCTATGATTCCAAGGGTTACACACACACACACACACTGCTACTGCTTCAAAACGCGAGGCAAAAATTGGAGACTGTCGAACCCATCCCTCCGTCGCGGCACGCGACGCTCGCCGTCGCTCGCTGTCGCCGCTCCTTCTGGCGACGCTGCTCTTCCAGCGCCGCCGCATCCAGTTCCTGAGGCGATCAACGAACGGGCTGAAGCAGCATATAGGAGCAAGGACGCTACGAGGAACAAAGGAGCAAGGACGATACGATCGGGGCTCCTGGCCTTACTACTAGTAACTAAGAAGCTACTAGGAGCAAAGGGCATCGCTACTAGTAACAAAGGGCATCGCTTCGTAGCATCTAGCAGGCTCCTCTCGGAGTGTCACTGGGAGCGTATCGTTCGATTGGAGGGGGAAAATGTCCGTTTCTCCCCTCACCCTTGGTTCTTGTTGGAGTGATGAACACCTGTCTCATGTGAGCAAATCCAGAACGATTTCTTGCGTGGCATCTACAATGAAGACTCCTGACTACACTGAATGAAACACCGAATTGCTACAGCACTCTTTCTTGTGTGCAATCCTCCAGTCTTGATAACCAAAAATATCGCTCATGCTCCCTGGCGTCTGACTCTTTTCCTCCAAGAACTGCAAGTGGCGTCGTTCAGAATTCGATCAATGAGAGAGTCGTCCATCTGAGGAGGAGCAAACAAAGAAATCAATGGTGCGACGCACGCTCTGGCTTCACTTTCAACAAAATGCAAAAGCCTCTTGTCAGCTACGTCCATCCTTCAACTACTTTGCTACTCCGATCAGTATGCGCCATATCATTGCACATTGCAATCTGCCCTTGCCACATGCTGGTCAGCTCCAGCCTCAAGTAATTGCGCAACTTCCCAGTGGCCTTTCTCAGCTGCAACAGACAAAGCGGTTGCTCCAGTTGCCATTGTTGCATGCTTGTCAGCTCCTGCCTCCAGCAACACCCGCACTACTTCCAAGTGCCCTTGGCCAGCTGCAGCACACAAAGCAGTGGCCCCATCTGCTGCAGCTGCATCCTTATCAGCTCCAGCCTCCAGCAACGATTGCACAACTTCCAAGTGGCCTTGGTCAGCTGCAGCAAACAAAGACATTGCACCCGCATCCTTGTCAGCTCCAGCCTCCAGCAACAATTGCACAACTTCCAAGTGGCCGTGGTTAGCTGCAGCAAACAAGGCCGTGGCCCCTTGTACTACAGCCACATCCTTGTCAGCTCCAGCCTCCAGCAACAATTGCACAACTTCCAAATGGCCTTGGTTAGCTGCAGCAAACAAAGCAGAGGCCCCATGTGCTACAGCCACATCCTTGTCAGCCCCAGCCTTGAGCAACAACCGTACTACTTCCAAGTGCCCATTGCGGGCTGCGATATACACAGCTGTTTCTCCATCTGCCTCTGCAGCATCTTTCTCGGCTCCAGCCTCAATCAACAACTGCACAACTCCGGAATGGCCCCCCCGAGCTGCGAAGTACAAGGGCGTTGCCCCATCTGCTCGGGCCATATCCTTGTCAGCTCCAGCCTCCAGCAACAACCGCACAGCTTCCAAGTGACCATACTGAGCTGCGACATGAATAGGTGCATTGTTGCTGTTTCTCCCTTTCCAATTCGGATCCTGTGGCTTCTGGAGCAAACGTTCGATATCACACACCCTATTCTCCTCACATGCACGCAACAGTTCCTCCTCGACTATCTCGTGGGGGGCACAAAAACTCAAGATTACCAACTGCACACGTGGTAGAGGACGTAACGGCATGTCATCTTGCAATTCACCAATTTCGTCAGTCAGGAGTCTTTGTCGAAACCTTGAGCATCCAACCTGGGCTGCAAGGACTCGCTTCAGCTCACGAACAGTCCTTCCGCTTTCCACCATACAACGCACTTCATCCTCCTCAAGCTGAGCTACTATGGTGCCGGACACAGCCGTCACCTCCATGTCTGAGCGCGCCACTAGCGTCGATGGGACTTGAGCCGTGAGTGAAAACACTACCTGACCTGACCACCTGACGGCTCAGCCGTGAGTCTAAGAACAAACCCACCTGACCTGACCTCGGTTGGGGCTGGATCTGTCGCCGCTCTCGGCGCATGGAGGCTCATCCGGTGATGGGATGTGACTGACCGGTCGTCGCCCGTCGTATATACGATCCGGTCGAAGGCGTTCCTCAGGGATGGAGGCCGGAGGAACCAAACGATCCCAAACGAACCAGGAAACCAAACGGCACGTGGACTTCCTCCAAAGACCTCCACGGGAAGAAGAGAAACAAGAAGGCTCCCTGCACCAAAAAGGTCCCAGAACCCTCCACGAAACCCCACCGAGGGCCCCCCAAGTGCGATCGAAACCCTTCCGCCTGCACCGAGGGCGATCTTCGACGAGTCCTGGCGAAGCGGAGGCGCTGAAAGCAGATTTCGAACTAGTAACAAGTGCCTTACTACTAGTAACAAGAAGCTATTAGAAACAATAGATGGTTTACCTTGATGATGGTGATGATGAAGATGACGTTGTTTCATACCAGCATGTCCCAACAACTTGGATGTGCACGTCAATGTTGGGTAATCTGTTCATGCATGCGTTTCCAGCTTCTTTGGGAATCGTGTCCCTTGGAAAAGGACAAAGATATACCTCGCAAAGTTCCGACACTTCTCTGCCCCGTGTCCCACGCACGACGGCAGAGCGGCTTCGGCCCGTGCCCGCCTGGAGGAGGAGGACCTGCGTGTTTTTCATGTCGTGGCGATGCATTTTGGAGGGTGAAGATGTGCCAAGGCGCGGAAAGCGGTTGACGCTTGATATTAAGAACACATACGAGTAGAACCCCACGATTCAGACTGGTATGACATCACCATCTATATATATAGTTCTTTCTTCAGCAGTCTCGAGTCTCTACATGAACTCATTCTGAGTGTGATGGCGAATGCTTGTTGATGCTCTTAAAATAAGGTGGATCTCGCCGGGTCTCTGCAAGGGCGGCTACACTGACTTGAATGAGTTCACCCATTCCACCGGCAAAGCAGCCGTGGCCGTGGCGCGTCTCGGCGTCTCCGTCGGTTTCGGGTGTATCCCCCTTCTCACAAATCAACCAACCAAGGGCGTAAAAGGTCATGACTCCCCCAGCCTCCTGCGCTTCTTGTGCTTTTTGGCCTGTCGAGCAAGCGACGAACTCTCCCCCCTTCGTGAGCGTGGAGCCGGGGCTATGAAGCGCCTCATCCGCTGTGGGAATAACGGGGGTCCTGAATGGTACAATCAGACAGTACAAGAAGCTACTAGTAGCAAAGGGCATCGCTGCGAACGGAGCAAGAAGCTACTGGTAGCTCCTGTCCCGAGTCCTCACAAAATAGGCGTGCACGACAATTCAACAGTGTGAATGAAAGGAACCAGCCTTGGCCTTCCTCTCTCTTGACCTCAGTTGTGAGAAGCCGTTCACCCATGTCACTCGCAATTCTACAAAAAAACTTGCACCAGGCACCAAAATCTTATGTGTGAACTTGGCCACCAAATCTACTGAAGAAATATGCTGGGTGGTGAAGCTCCGTGAAACTCCCCATCAACTGGGCAAATTGCCACAAAATTGCTGCTCTTTCGACACATCGTCACCCTACCCAATAGGTCAAAATCCTGCCTGACCTGTTCTCCTTGGACCAAACTTGAAGGCCCCCACCGTGATCTCCGTACAGCTCGAGGGGAAGACCTGCGGTTTCAACTCGAGTGAACTGGGTCCTTCAACATCCTTCAACGTCAGTGAACTGGGTCCCTCAAAAGGCACCTTGGAAAGCACCTGAAAGCTCTGAAATACTAGGTGTGTTTCAGCAACTATATGCTACGTTCCATGGTTTCTCAGAGGATCATGAAAGTCAGGCCCCAACTTATCCAAGATCCACTTCGCGACAGTCAACCGCCCTTCCAAACCCCCCTTTCCCTTCAATCATTGCAATCCAAAACGAGCCTAGGAACACAAAGGGCATCGCTACGAACGGAGCAAGGATGCTATTAATTAGGGGCTCATGGCCTTACTACTAGGAACAAGGGCATCGCTACTAGTAACGAATGCTCTTAGGTTGGAGGCAATAGTATCAAAAAGCCATGTTCCAGCTCCATGTCCCGCACAGCTCCCGCGGCCCCCCGACCTCGAGCGGGCGGCCGGAAGGGTCGCGCGCGCGCACGACGACCAAACCGACCGACCAAGACGGTGCCTGGATCGTCGGGCGCGACCCATGTTGGATCGTCGAAGACGTCCTCGGGTGGCGGGTGCTCGGTGCCATTTTTTGTTCGGTTCACCGGGAGTTCACATGCGGAGCTCACTGAGCTCACACCAATTGTCCTGAGGGTTCTTTTTTCCTGGCCTGTTGACGAAAAGGCCACAACTGTTGATGAAAAATCATTTAAAGCCCCCAACGGTTGGGGGGATGGTTTTCTCTCTTTAAAACAGAAAACAACTCGATGATCGCGTACATTCCACGAAGCAACTGCGAGGGGTTGGAATCTCTTGCCCTTTTGAACAGCCACATCACTGTCGTCCCGGGGTCCACTCGAAATGTCCTTGGACATCGAGCGTCTGAACGGCAGGATCAACTAGACCATCCTGAACCAAGTGGGCCAGGAACCACATGACGTGGTTCAACACATGATGTGGAACGTCTGGTGCGACAGCGCTTGCTGGTGGCGACAGCAGAACGTCCCTGAAGGAGCTCTTGCGGATCATCCGGACGTCGCTGTGGAGTCTGAGGCTCCCAGCAAGTCAAATATCCATCAGCCGGGCCCAGTGACAAGAATTGGATCTCAAAGAGCAATGAGCTTGGGAGTGTTCTTTCCCTTTTCACCAGGCAGTTTGTGCCATCTTCAAGTGATTTATCTCTATGATTTACATCACACAACACAAGACTCCAGGAAACAAAGTCGCTCAAAGCTGGGAACCGACTAATATACAGTACTAGTAGTATTCATTAGTATTCTGCTGGTTAGGTTTGTCTTGTGCACTGATTTGTGTTTTCTCGTCAAGCTTGTACATTCTTTTGAAGGAACTTGATGAGGTTCATCAACTCAAAAAGAATGGCACTCCAGCGCTACCTTAAACGGCACTGCTGTCAATGCTCCCCCCACGTCCCCAAATGGGTCAAGCAGACTAGACCACCATTTGGGGGTCTAGTCTAAGACAAAGACTCACACAGTACAATCACCGGTGGTCCATATGCTTCTTGAACAACGAGACCTGCACTCCAAAGTGTTGTGACTTTCAGCGACTCGCTAGGTGAGCCTTCAAGCTGGCGGGGGAACCGTGGAACCGGGTTCCTACGTGAAGCTCTGAGTGGCCTTTCCGGCCTTTTTATGCCAGCGATTCTGCAAGCATTCAAGGCCTATGCTCTCGTCTTCTCTTGATGAAAAGGTCTTCCCCCAAGCAAAAGGTGGATAACTCTGGCAACCATTTCTTCAGCCATGGCTCTCTGTCCCAAGCAAAATCTGGTTGCCTCAACATGATCGACAACCCAAGGGAGTTTCACCTTGCTCTTGCAAATTTGCTTTGGCATCTGCCTCCATCTTGGCCCCACCCAAACATCCCCAAGTTAGTTGTCATCATGACTAGAGGACAACTACCGTCAATATTACAATATGTTGCTAGCCTACCGTCCTTCTCCAAAGAGCAGAAATTGTTCGGACTCGGAACCCCAAGATCTGCTCGGACTGAACCTCCCTTCATTCTCAGTGGCCCTGTACAGGTACCCTAGTAGTGTCGTCCGATCGCTCCGTTCGTAGCGAGGCCAGCCCCTAGTCGCGTCTGATCGCTCCTAGTACTCACTCAAAGACACGTTACATGTCCATTACGGAGATTCAGTCCGGTCTGATGTCGAGCTCACAAGATCCGGCGTCAAACAGACATTGAAACCCACCAATGCTTTCGCACTGGTCCCCTCCACCTTGCCTTAAGCAGCCGCAGTGGCAGCATCGGCAGCAAGACCTTAGACTCACAAAAATCGGTGACAGATCTGACGGATCTTGATCTTAGATGTGTGATCCCTGAAGTTCCTATGGAGTGGTAGGGTAGTCACCTGCAAAGCAAGCCACAGCTGGACAGCAAAAGTTGCTGGCTCCTACATGCCTACGGCTTCCAACTGGCGGACATATGATTGGTGGACATGCCTACAAGGCGGAGAACCCAAAAGCAAGCTCGGCTCACATGCATCAATTTGCTGGCTCATGCGTCTGTGTAATTGACTGGTGATCAAGGTGATCACATTTTGCTGTCACACCAAAAATGTAAAGGAACGTCAAAAGGGAAAGCAGGGATGTGACGGGATGTACTACATCTCCTCTGCAAAGCCTAGTTTGCCGCAAGCCCTTGCTTATGAAGGAGCACGCCAAACTTCCCGCGAGTTCCCAATCATGCCACCACCAACAGCCTTCTGGTAGATCTTTCCTTCACTTGCAAAAACCACATATGGCACCTTCTTGCCGATGTTGTTGACAACGGTGAATTGACATTTTCCTTGTTGACCTCCTTTGTACCACTTCTCCGTGACAGTAGCTTGCCTTGCGAAGTATTCTTGCCAGTGACGGCCGTTGTAGAGACAAATTCGCGATGAGAGTTGCTTGTCATCTGCATTGAGTTCCACTGCATCAAAGTACCATTTCGCGTGGTTCGCCGGGAGCTTCACGGAATGGTCGAGGCCTGCCTCCATCAGATGATCATGTGCAGCGGTGACGTCACTTCCATAGGCCTTAGAAGTGGTTCAACCAGGAAAATGACTTTAACCATATTTATACAAGGAAACACTTTTATGTCTGCTCTCAACCTAGCATTAACTTTGCTACCTGGCTTTCATTCACTCCGGATCCATTTAGCCAACTACTAAATGGACCAAATGTTCTCTTCCACGTTAGTTTTGCTGGAGAAAGAAAAACCTGACTGCTGGAGCAGGCCTGCAATTGGGTGATGATGTTGAGGCCTCCGGAGTTTGAGCCTTCACTCACAATCTTGTTGGTGATAGTAGGCAAGAGCGTTGAAGCATGTTGTGTGAACCAAGCTGGCGAGCTTTCATCTGAATGCTCTTGCCGCGCGTGCAAGCCTTTCTTGACCTCCTCCCACTTGCCCTCTTCTGCCAACAATGACAAACTTGGAAACTCCATCGTCTCCAGCACAATGTTGGTGGTTAATAACATGTCTGTGCGACTCACAAGTCTGAATTTGGTGTATGGTGGGTAAAGGACCTCGTTTTCATTCGGATACTTGGACAGGTGGTGGATCTGTGCGGGCACAATGAGGTCATTGAACAGGTCCTTTAGCTCATGCTCATCCCCCTTCTGTACTTCTAGAGCCTTGTTGCAGTGGATCTCGAAAACGACATTGCCCTTGAAAGCACTACTGGGACTTGTAGAAGTAGACGAAAAAGCCTCCCAAAGTACCACCTCTCCCACCTCGTATTTCTGCAGGTCAGAAGAAGACAGGTTGCATCCCCTCCACACAGTTCCGACAAAAGGCTTCAGAACCGAGTGAGTCTTCATGGCGCTGAGACCAAAGGGCTGCATGGTGAGGTTGATCAAGCTGCCGTACTCCTTGAGCCCAGTCATGTCGTCGTGGCGCAAAGCCTGGTTCATTTGAGCATAGACGCTGTTCTCGCTGTAGAGACGGATGGCAGCCTTCCACTTTTCCACCATTGCTTTGCCTCGGGCATTGCCCAGAAAGTGCTCATAAGGCTTTGAGGATGAAGTTGAAATCACAAACTTCACAAAGTTCGGCTTGAACTTCGGCTTCGATTCTTGCGGTGTTTCTTCACCCACAGTCAGTGGAGCAGCAGCACTCAGACCAAACAACCAGGCTAACACCAACCTGACTTCTAGAGCCACAAGGTCTTGCAAGTTCCTCACGTTTGACAAATCATCAGGCATTGCTCTGGGCAATCTGGCTTTCAACTACTCTGGCTGTGAACTCTGGCTGTGAACTGCTGCAGCAAGCACCCTTTCTGTGCGAAAGCGAAGCACTCCGAACTCCCTGTAATTAAATGTATATAAGACATAGAACAGAGATGAACCACCAAAGTCTGAGAGTGCAAGACAAAAATGATATTGAATGGCTTCTATTGCGCGGCTTCACCAAAAAATGAGTTAGAAATGCTGGGCATGCTAGTGCCAAAGAGTAGACCAAAACCTGAACAGCAAACCATCGAGTCAATTCTCATCTCTTACTGCCCTTCTTTTCACCAGTCGCCGGTTCCAAAGCTTCCGGAACCTGGGGCAGCTCTCCCCTTAAACCTCCTCCGGAACATACCCCATCTCTCCCAAAGCCCCTGGAACCTGCTTCCCTTGCAAGGGGGTCCCACTCCATTTGCCGATCCGATGAAAATCAAATGCAGCAGGAGTGACGTGGAGTGACGACATGGAGGTCCAGCGGTGTTGTCCAGCGGCCTAGCGGAGTTGCACCCTCGCGGCGCGAGCGGACGTCGAAACCGGTTTCGGTGATGAGTGGCTCAAAGGAGCTGATGGCGAAGCCGCAGAGCCAACATCTCAGCAGTTCATGTAAGCCTCATACGTATTCGTTCCCTGCAAACAACTTTGCTGACAAGTCAAGGACTAACCATGACGTGGGGATGTGTCGCTTTCTTCAAATTGGTAGAAACTTGCGGATGGGTTGACTTTCCCGTGTATTTTCTGACCTGCGTCTCCCTAAGCACATCTGTTCATCTTTCCGAAGGCCCTTGGTGGTTTCCTCACAGCTGTCCAGGTGGGAAGCATAGCCTGCGGGTGATGAACTTCAGAATTGCCCTGACCATCATTTCGATCACACGTAATCACACGCATCATGAAGCGGATGAAAACTTGTTGACCATCATCTCAATCTCGGATATGGAGTGTCAACACTGCTCCTTCTTGATATTGATATTGATGGTCAACATTGCTCCTGGTGCTTGATCATGGTGATATTGATATATACCAGGCTGCCTGAATTCAATCACAAGTGTCCCGTGTGAGTGAAACCGTCCATCGTCTTTCAAAGCAAGAGCACTGAAGAGAGCAAAGGCAGCGGGGGACTCCCAGAATCTGAGCCAGCGAATGGCTCGCTGGCTCCTACAAACGATGTTTCTGTCTGGGCCCAAGAATGGAATCTAAAGAAGTGAATAATATGAGTATAATGACACTTCTTTAGATTCCATTCTAGATTCACTTCTTTAGAAGTGAGTATAATGACACTAGATGACACTAGTATATATACTAGTATGACACCTCACCAGGACTCCCGCCTCAACCAGCTGGAGTCCTGTTCTCGCCATGGCACTAGTTCACATGTCTGCATGTCTCTGCAATGAGGAGGTGCACTGGTGGTGTACATCTTTTGCCCTCCTTTTCATTGAATCTGCATTGTTTACCAAAAAGTGTGTTCTGTATGTCTGGCGCAGGGTAGGAGCAGTACTAGGAGTAGTTGCAACTCCAATTCATCGATCCATTCCTTCTGTCTGTGGTGCACTTTGCGGGACTTGTGCGTGAAGCGATTGGATGTCCAAGTGAAAAGCTCGGGTCACTGTCCTGCAACTCCTCTACAGGGACAAACTTCCGAAGCAACAATTCATGGTCGATGGTTTTCAGGAGGGGATTTTACATTTACAAACCATGGGGAGTAAAACGGTTTTGGGAAAACATGTGTTTTTTCCCATAAGAACCACCCTTCTCATGTCTTGGCGCTTTGTCGGACTCCTGTTTCGAGGTCCGGGGGCCCGGTGTGGCTTTGGCGAGGTTGACATGAGACCCGCCGGCGGCGGACACATCCGAGCCGCTCCCGGAACGGCTCCGCACAGCCCGCTTCAGCCAGGTCTTGGTCATTTCATGTCATGTCCATGTACCAATCAGGAGGTAGATCGAATGTGGGGATGTCTTCCTCCGAGAACTGGTGTCCTCAGTCATTCGTCTTCGATACCGATAGACGACATCTTCGATGAAGTAGGATGAGTATCATGTTGTATTCAGTCTACACCACAAAGTGTACGCACAAAGTCTGGTCAAAGAGATCACTACTTAGTTCCCTCGCAGTTCTTCAGCAAGTGCATCTGGAGGCTTAGACTCATATCCATCCATCCAATCCACTATCAACAATCAACAAAAAAGCCCTTTGGGGGATCTGTTTCATGGGGCTGCTTGCAGATCTCCATTATTCTCCCCCCTGCCGGCAAATATTAATTTCCATGCTTCTTGGCTTTTATGGTCTGATAAAAAGGTGTTCATCTTTCTAACACCTCCCAAAAAGGGAGCAACCCAGAGCCAGCCTAGGTCGCAAGTGGGAAACCAAACCGACGGTCGGCGTCTGTTGGTGTATCCAAAACCAGGTGGGTGGGGTGAGCCGTCTGTTGGTGTATCAAGACCAGAGGCGAACATCCAATAAAAATGAACGACTACACTTTCTGGAACGTCCTCATGGGCCAATGTGGAAAACGGCCCCGATTTGGGATGAACCACACAATCCAAAGACTGAAGTTCGTGGTGAACTCCACGTAACCATAGAATTATACTAGGGAGTGTAATGGTTCTCACTTTGTGGATGCGAAACTCTGCCAGGCTTAGAGGTGGTTCTTGTGTCAACCCACAGCTTACTACTTGTTGGTATGGCGAACAGCTCATCTGTCAGATAGGACCTGAACGAAAACTTCACAGCTCCTCACACACCGAAGCATGCTTCGCAAATCCGTTCGTAACTGAACTGCTACTTACCGGCTAATTAGTAGAGTTACGAACGGATGAAGGCGTTCCATCACTCCAAACACATCCAAAATACTCTGTCCACAAATTCACCCGAGATGGCTGAACCCCTCCGCACACCCTCCCGCAGCGGCCGAGGAGGTATCATGCCTTAAGGACCTTTGCAGCGGATCAAGAAGCGAGAAGGGTGGGGCCGGGTGGGAGTGGATGGGATGGATGGGGTAGAGCTCCCTGGAATCATCATGGTTTCAGTGGAGTGAGTGAAAACCACCTGTTTGTAGAGGAAATGTTGCAACATAGTACTCTCTAAATATCATGACATGGCCATAGATCCACCAAGACTTCATTTCAATTCACAATTCACAGATGTCCAAAGTTCAGCTGCTTTGAGTCTTTGAGCAGGAAAAACATCAATGAAGTGAAGCAGGTCCGGTGGACAATTCGACAGCCCATCTTCGGGATCTCGGCAGTAGGACCAGTAGTCTCTGTTTTCGACGACTCGTGTCTTCCTCTGCAGAAATCGGTTCAGTGGCAATCATGCGTGAAAATGAAGACGCAAGGAGATGTCATACACTTGACACTTATTGTTCACTCTTGTCATCCCGGGTCAGCAAACGGTTGCAAATCTACGGTCGGCAATTCATCGGTTTAGCATGCCAAAAGCCTTTGGCCCCCGAACCGCACCTCGGATCGGACCTTCTCTTCCCGCCCGGCCCGCAAGTCGGACCGTCCACCAACCCGGGTGGGAGCCCCCGGCTTCGCTATAGAGCTCCGCATGCGTGTCTGGGTGATCCCCTGCGACGTGTCGACGTGCTCGCTCGACTCGGCGCGGCGGGGTGCGATCGACTCGTGGGGATGGGTGAGCGACTGGGTAGGGTGAGGGGGATGAGGGACGGGGGTGGGCGATGGGGAAAGAAGATGTGCAAGTCCCTGTCTCAGCCGGTGCCGAAGTGGTGAACCAAAGAGGTTCCTGATCTGCTGAGCTGCAACCGAATTGTCCGAAGGAAATGAAAAAAAACATTAAGACTTGGACCCTTTGAAATGCAAGGTGGTACGCTCTTCTGTCAAGTGTCCCAGTCTGCCGAGCGTCGAGTTTCCGGCTAGAAGTAGAAGTGCCAACCGAACGCGTGCTAACCGCTGACCGAGTTTCGGTGGTATTGAAGAGATGAGGAGGACACGACCGGTTCTCAAACCCGATGGAACGCAGAAGAACTTCAGCAAGTGACAGAAGAACTTCATCGGCCCCATCGGTCTACCGGAGAAGTCACAGAACTTTCTCCACATGTTGGAGAATAGATAATAGCATTCATGGATGGCCCAAGTAAAAGTCTGCACATTCACCAGCTGACTTCTATCAAAATACGTCATGCGTTATCATCGTTATCACTAACTTATCACCCGTTCCAGAGGTCCTGTATGAAATGTGCTGCAAGTTCATCAAACCTAAAGCCTAAGCACATGCCCAATTCAATGAACTGTCACAGCTTGTATGCGTGGTGCTCTTTCATAGCGTAGTCCTTCGGTGACCAGTTGGATATGACTGGTGGAGACTGCAAACCCTGTTCAGCTTGCGACAACCGCGTGAGTCGTTTGTGGGTTTCAAAGCAGCTCATGCGGTCATCCCAAACGCTATGCTCTAACTCCAACCATCAACGGCCGAAGATGGGCCTCCTTGGAACGGCCGAAAGGTAGGGAACTCCAGAAATCCTCCTACTGCAAAAGGAGGCAGTTCACTGGATCAGTGTCCTTCTTCTTGCATTTCACTGGAATTGCATGAAGGCCTTCTGCAGCTTTCTTTGGTGGGCAATCCCCAGCAACACTCGTGAAAAACGAACCCTTCCAGTCTGAACCCAAACACATGTGGACGGTCAGTGGTTCATGTCGGGGCCATGTCGATTCCTCCCAAAGGACATTCAAGAAGAGTGTGTCTCTTGGGCGGTTTATGTTAAAATCTGGCGAAGACAAGGTCGACCTGCCCTTAGGGACCGGGATGCTCCCTGTTGAGTGTAGAATCTGGATACTCCAGGTTCCCCTAGCTCCCTCCAGCTCGCACTAGCCAACAAGAAGCTACTAGTAGCTCCTGGCATCGCTACTAGGAGCATTCTTACTACTAGTAACCAGAAGCTACTAGGGGCTCCTGGCCTTACTACGAACGGAGCGATCGGACGCTACTAGTACCAAAGCCCCCGGCACAAGACCACGGT